CAGCGAATCATTCTTGGTCCACACGGTCATATGAACGGACTACTAGTCTGAGCATTGATACATGCACATAAACGTATGACGTAAATTTTGAGGATACTTATTATCGTCACGTGTTATTAAGCGGTTTATGCAAAATTCTCGGGGAATAGAGATTTATTTTAAACAATAAGACGAAATAGTAAATAGTCAAAACACAAATTTTATGTATCACGAAGCTTTCAGAACTTTCCGACAGTGTTCCTTTATCGGCGTGACAGTGTAAGTACAACTCTTGGTTGAAGTTTTGTTAAATGGTGCCGATCACCAGTTTTTATGCGCCTGTCGAACACTTCTGTACTTCTAGTCGGGCAGTTCAGCAATTCTTGGTTGTGACTGTTTGCTTCTGTCGTAGTTATGCCATGACATTGGCGTTCCTGGGATCGTGTTCCATAGAAAATTGGTATTAATTTCGAACAGCAGCGTTTTATGGTCGAACTCTTTAATGAGACGAAACACCGCTTTGTTCCGGTTCTGCCGAACCCTGACACAAATTAGAGGCAAACCTGTTTTGATTTGTTTGTTCTGTACCGTCTCTTTCTCTTTTTTCTATTGTTTTGATGTTGCATTTTTTCCGTTCGCATTTTGGTTACCTCAAAGTACTGAAAAGTGGTGAAAAGTACCGCCATCTGCTACAGTAATAAACTTGACTGACTGAATTTGAATGGGTGACAGAGTTCAGACCGTCTTCCAAATCACCGTTAATTCAAAAGTTGCCGTCCAGCTAAAATGTAAATGTCATTAACCGCGCAATATGACTTTGACAGCAGGGTTACTGTTATACTGGATAGTTGTTGGTTGATTTAGAACGAGAGTAAAATCAGTGTTCTTTGATCGAAGTGACTCCAGGTACTTGTTGACTGTCATGGCCTAGCAGAAGAGGTTTGACAGAGGAGCATTCTAACGTCAGTCGTACAGTCGTTGCCACTCAATTGACATACATTCTCATAGTCACTGTTACGTTCCGTACGTTTTTTTGTAAGTGTGGGAATTATCATTACTGCGTGAAGTCGTTTGCACAGGGAAGTCGGTTGCGTACTCAAGTGCCGTAGTTGCACAGACTACTGAGTTTTTGTACTTAGACCGTTGACTAGTGGTTAATTCGACACTAATTTTGAATGAAGCAAAAAATGGTGCAAATTCATATGCAGACAAAATATAAGCACTAAAGCAAATGCAGTATATGGTATTCTTTGTTTTCATATTGCTATGCTGTTAAAGGAACACCGTGCCAAGGTGCCAAATGCGTCGTCATAAATAAATTGTTGTTTTTGTGCTGTTTACCGTTTGATCTGGTTCTTTGTTATGTTTGACTCTGTAATCGATTTTAGAAGTTACATTACTAGGAGGAAAGATTGGACAACTGAAAAACTGAAAATAATCTGATGAGTCATTTACATTTATTATAATCATGATGAGTGAAAAATAACTCCCTTTCACAAATGGACATGCAGCTTGTTCAAGGCATCTATTTTTTTGAACTCCTATTTGTACTGGTATCGTCTTTTTATTCCGTGATGGCCATTCATTCTTGATCACGTGATCCGGTATGTTGCTGAATGGCGGAGGCAAGTGTTGTTACGAATTTTTAATTTGTAAGCCTCCGAGAACAGTGACTTTGGCGATTACGTTTTTGAGGCAAATCTGCCGAGAAATTTAGAGGCACTTGCAAAAATACGAACAGGTGAATGAGAAACCACTACCTGCATCGATTTTCAAACAATTCAGGGTGAAATTCCCGTCGTGCTTTTGGTCTCTGTTAAATCGTATGAGTGGTGTAATAATTTTCTTTCGCCATGTAAACAGAATAGGGCATTGATTTCAGCAGATGTATTATTTACCTCTGGCTGAACTCTCGATGGAACTACAGCGTCAGGGTGTATACACCAGTCCGAATCATGGTTTTAATCATTTATGCATGGAAGATTTTTAACAGAAAAATAATCTTTGGTATAATAAATAATAAGTAAATCTTTAATGCGAAGATTCGTTTTGAGACACAGAAGCATTCATCGTAAAGCGTAGACAAACGAAAGTACAACTGTAATTATGATAGTCAATTACAGACCATCTGTATGCAGCTTTTCTTTTAAACCAAGGCAGAATAAACGTGGATGATGGTTTGCAATGCCTACTCTTCGTGATACCTAATATAATCCCATCTTAGAAGTTTAATTAGGCATTCGTCGACGAGTGTTGCGTTGTTAACAATCGTCTAAAGTTTTTGGCAACGTTTCAGGACCACCGTCACTGTTCTTATTGACAGCTGTTATAACGCAAACTCTTTTATCGATCGTTGATGCCAAGGCATAGACAGAACTGAATGGAACAAGATCATTATACTGTTGATTTATCATGATATTTTTTGAATTATTCAAATACTGTGATAACAATCAGTGTCAAAGTATCCCGACAGTACTTCGGCCTGGCATCCGTCTTTAAACAGTTGAGTTTGATCACACAGTTAGAATGATGTTCAGAAAGATAAAATGGGGATAATGATATTCATTCTTCAGACTTAGTAGGAAATAATAAAACTATATTTTTACTCTTAGAGGTTAAATATAAACGTTAAATTTATGCAATTGTTTTGCACACAATAATAATCCCATCGAAGGCGACTGAGGAATTGTTATCACGTCTAATGTTTCCCCTGCACAACAGTGGTCTCCTTAAGAGTAAGAACTTATTTTATTTTTTTACTTGTCGAGCTCGATGCTACTACTATTACTTAACGTTGTTAAATTGTATGGAAACGGCATCTTCGTACAGCATCGTTTGTTTCATGCGTAATGGTAGGTTCACGTCATTGTCATGTGCCTGTAGTCGACGAGGATCATAATGCTTAGGCCACCATAAACCCTGGTGCCGTAAATTGTGTTCATATTGTTACTCTGTGTTCTTGGAGCAAGAGAGACACAGAACACGTTAGAGCAGCCACATTTCTCCAGTGTGAGCAGATGTCTGCTTGTGGACCTTCATTGTCTTTCACGAGGGCTCAGTTGCCGACCAGCTGAACGGTGACAGCTGCTTCTCTACTGCTGGGTGATAATGACCACCAACGATGCCCTTTATGATAATCCTCAGAAGTCTCGTTGGTAGACCGTTTTGCGGTTCACGACGGGCTTTTGCGGCTATCGTAGCGATTTCAGGGGAACGAGCCCGATTGTACTTCACGTTACCAAACAGTTTCTTACGCGGCAAGGACGAAAGGGTGGCTTTTTAAGGAGTGAAAAGGACCGCGAGCGAAGTGACTCTGTCTTCTCATGGGCAGCGGTATCCTCCGTAGATATGAAGTTTAAAAAGAGACCGTTGAATCTGTCTCTAGTTGAGCATCAAGTAGTCGATCCAGCCCATGAGTTTCTCGTTGCAGAGCTGAAGACGGCAAATGT